GCTATATAAATCCTGTATAATAATAATTTTTGATGTGGGAAATTGCCACAAATCTTTGCAAGGTCGAAGCTGTATACGAAACATGAACCAATCCGGTGATCTCTGCTGTCTTTCCTGGTCAGGGCTATGTGATCTGTAGAGGAAGTCGGATGCCTTCACAGACCCGTTCTGCTCTTCTAACCCTTTCCTCTTGTGAACGTATTTTCTGTTGAGTCAATAAAATTTACCCTGTTTTCAACTTACTACACTATCATTACGCTGATTCCCTCTGTTTGTGTCCACTTTCTTGATGTCCCACATTGATGGGACCATAATAGAAACTCTCTATGTGTTTTATGGGTGAAAAAGTCCACTTTATCAGGAGAATTGTAAAAATGTTTAACATATAGGTGCATGATTACTGTCATCTCTATTCAATATACGTTATAATCCAAAATGAATCCGTAACATATGTGGATAAGTGTGACATGATATAGCAATATGAGAACACACCAGCCAGATTAAAAATGATCATACATGCATGGATGGATTTGGCCACCCAAGAGAGCAGGGAGCCACAAGGAACAACGGGGACATCACCACTCACCCATAAAATGATCTACAAAATACTTGATATATTGTGTATTCGGCTAAGTCTGCACTTAGTCAAATCCTTTGAAGAGGTATCTCAGTGTCTCAAGCCGACATTGCTAGACAACAGGAAGGGTCTCCTCATCCAAGCTGATGTATTGATGTCTAGAAATTCCCATACAATGTTTCAAACTTTGTAATCATTCAAAGGATGCTAGTGATTATGGTATTAGATAATGGACTTTTGTAGCACTCCATAATCCTATTGGTAAAGATAAGCCATATATATGCACATAGTAGTGCTTATCTCTAAGGAAATAGCAACTGGTTCATATTGAATAATACCCATGGGAAAGCATATAGCTGGCCTATAAGAACAGTATCATAATATCCAAAGGTGCTCCATAATAATGTTCTACACCCATATTTGCGGAGACTCCTGGGGTGTGTGTGTGAAAATCGCAGTTAACAACAGCAGCCTACAAATATGTATTTTTCTCCACACAAGTTTTCGAAAATTTTCCACATTTATTGGGCACAAGTCTTTGAGGACCTCTTTGCATCTACACGTTCAGTTGAGGCACACCATCTAATGAATGTCATTGTACATTTTTTTTTTTACATAACGTACAGTATGTTGTGTTAGGGCAACTCATGTGTTTGGAATGGACTGCCAACACACAGCAATGGACAAAAAAAGTATGAGCAGAATTTTGTTAATGTAGTGCAGGTCCATGAGCACCTACTGTACTAGTGCCTTGGGGTGTGTAGTGCTTACAACTGAAGGAGCCACTGATATTTGGGTCCCCTGATTCCAGATGACAATGACCTTTTGAGAATGCCACACCCTCTGACACAACGAGGCTAAATAAGCAGGATTTGGGAAATATGCCCAACAAGCCAGCAAAGCAGAACAACAATAACAGTAAAAACAGGTAATACATTTTCACACCACAAGTAATAAAATAACTGATTGTCATTCACACCGAGCTGAGCATTTTTCAGGTGTTTTTTGAGCTTTTTTAAGCAGATTTGCAAATATTTTAGGCGTTTTTTTCAGCTGTTTTTTATTTAGGCATTTTTGCTGTGGTCAACATAAATAGAAATTGCCGCTGTGTGAGCTGAAAACACCTAAAAAAATAGCTTATTCCCACTGTTCAGGCATTTTCCATTTAAGTTAATGGGGAGATCTGCCTGAAAAGTAGCGCAAGTATTTTTTTGAGCGAAAAGTGTTTTGCTACAGGCAACAGGACGCTCAAATCTGAACAGGGACCATTGGAAATAATGGGATTGTTGAGAGTTTCTGAGCGTGAAGCAGAAAATGCTCAAGTGGTAAGGGGGTCTGACACCAGAAAGGTCCTAACTTAGGCCTCATTCACACCATACGTACAGAAAAACTGATGTGCAGATTTCACTTGCAGAGACATCAGTTTTCACGCACGCTTCAATGGGTTTTATACATGTTGCAGATTCCTGGGCAGAAAAAAATCTGCACGTGATACTAGTGTTGCGATATGAACAGGGCACATTTTGTTGAGCCTTTGCAGAACATGTACATAAAAACTGACATCTTTGCACCATGGCGTGAATGAGCCCTTAACGCTAGGCTCAGACCTAAGCATTTTCCGCTGCGTTTTGCAGAAACACACTACAGTCCGTCTAACATTATTTTCCTATGGGACACGTTCACATCTCCGCGTTTTCACCCAGTGCGTTTTTTGGAAAGGGTCAGGGACTTTTTTGAACGCAAAAAGTTGCATTTTTGGTTCTATAGACTTCAATGGAAATGTTGTAGAAAAGCATGTAGTGTATTTTTGCTGCGTTTTTGATGCATTTTAAATCTGCCTAGCAACAAAGAAAAAAACCCCGCAAAATGCAGCAAAAACGCATCATAAACACAAGTGCAAAAACGCAAAATGCAATGCAGGAACAAATCAAACGCAAACTGCATAGGTGTGAACCTAGCCTTACACCTCGGACATATCGGGTGCAACTTGGCATGCGATTTGCATGCCATGCGACTTGCAAATCGTATGCCAAGTCGCACCCTATTGTCCGTTATTAGAACGATCATACCAGTGCTGTTCCGACTTGGTTGGAGCCACACCAATTTCTAAAGTGCATGCACTAATTTTGTTGCGATTTGCATAGACATCTGTTTCAGATGCAAGGGCGGACTGACCATTTGGAAACTTGGGCACTGCCCGAGGGCCCGAGGTCAGTAGGGGGCCCCATGAGATGCCCCTGGTACCTTTTTCATAGGCTTTTTTTAGTTTGGGCAAGGACACAGGGGCCCCATGATCCCCTATTGCCCGGGGGCCCCATGAGTTGTCAGTCCGCCCCTGTTCAGATGTCTTGCAAATTGCAGCTGAAATTGTCAGGTCACCTGATTTTGAAATTGTGCAACTTCACTGTAAGTCGCACGAATTCAAAATCGGCTTCGATGTGACCGGGGACTTAAGGAGCAGTACTGGAAGCTGTAGTTTAATCATTGGGGCCCTACGTTCCTGCATTGGAGTGCTCTGGTTTAAAGGGGATCCCACAGTATAGGGTGTAACCTCCATTTTATAGTAACTATATTTTATATTAGCAGGTGCAGTGCAGCCCAATTTACTTGAGGGGTGTGTTAGACAGACATTACAGGGGGTAATTCTTGCTGTGGCATGTATACCTCCCCATCTGCTGCCTTTGCAGATTAAGGGAGAGCAATTGGGACAGGTGGTAAAAACACGGCACAACTCAATTCCTTATGCTTTCATTTTCTTATTTTTACCTGGTGATCTGACCAGCAAATCTGATATTTTTTTACCAGAACAAGCTGTTCAGCCAAAGTGGCTGTTAAAGGGTTTAGACAACCTATTTATCACTGACATTTGTGCTTAGAATGATCAGCTTTTATTCATTTATATAAAATCTTTATCCCAAAAGGCAAAAAAACTTGATGTTACTGCTTTTAAAGCGTTAGCTGGAGATCGGCTTTCATTGTAGTAAAGTCCATTTAAATCTGCTAGTGCATCTGGGGTTGCCACCTCATCCCTATAAAACTGAACACATATTAATTACACAGGTTCTGTGGCTGATGAAGGTGGTAATTTAACTCACCTAGTGCCTTATGTGCATTAACTTAGCCCCAGAAACTGTGTAATGAGTATGTGTTCAAAGGGATGCGGTGGCAACCCTAAGTGCATCTAAAGCTGGGCATAGACAGACGCCTCCATTCACACAAGTGACGTGGATGGAGTAACCCCCTCCCGAAACAAGACATTCAGACAGCGACTGTAGATGTGATCAACAAAAGTTTTCCAGAATGTCCATTTGACAAATGTCGATCCAACAATTGGTTTCTGTCGAACAGGGAGGACTATATACAGATTGAAATTCGTCTGATCCCTATTGTACCAGCTATATTTCGATGTGTCTATGAGCAGCCTTACACTACCCTCTTCCCAGACTGACAATGCTTCTATCCAAAGGTGTCTCCTCTATCCAGAGTGAAGACACCCTAAGACAACAAGAGTGTTACTGACCAGGGGCGGACTGACAACTCATGGGGCCCCCTGGCAATAGGGGATCATGGGGCCCCTGTGTCCTTACCCACACTCAAAGCACACCCAAAAAAGCCTATAAAAAAGGTACCAGGGGCATTTCATGGGGCCACCTACTGACCCCGGGACCTCGGGCAGAGCCCGAGTGCTCGAATGGTCAGTCCACCCCTGTTACTGACTGTATTGAATATACAGAAAAAAAAGCTTAAAAAAGAAAACAAGTGCAGCCACCACATTTAAAGTGTTACTAAACCCACAATAGTAAAATCAGCCTGTATATGCAGAAAAGCATGCTTGTTATACTCACTGTGGAACCTGTTTAAAAGGCTGTTTGATCCTGACTTCTCTAATCCTCCCCTTCTAACAGTGTCCCCTCTTCTCTCCTGATAAGACATATTGTGTGGACACACTTTTCACAAGCTCAGTTTGGTGTTCATTGCTAGAGAGGTTATTTTTTTATTTCTTGGGAGAGTGCATGTGATCAGCACTGTCCAGACAGAAGTCAGAGGTTCTGCATCCTCCTAGAGCAGAAATACAACTCCTCCTACAAGCTATATCCACTGCTCTGCTGGACTCTGATAGAAGTCCCAAGACTGCTCTAACTGCTGATGAGAAAAGGTATTTAGCAGTTTATATCTACTAAAATAATTGTATTTCCATGTTGTGTGTACTGTGGGAGACCAGATATAGTGAATGCAGGGTCCTGGGTTTAGTAACACTTTAACCGCCTCCTGCCCTCCATATAAGGAAATGACGGGCGCAAGGCAGCTCTCTCGTTCTGGGAGGACATCATATGACGTCATCCCACTCTAACTGCATGTACTTGGCTCCGGAAGCACGCAGCGCGGCAATCGGTGGTGCGCTGTGTCTCTCGGACACAGCGGATGATCGATCAATGGAGAGAGCCGAAGACGTCGGCTCTGTCATGTGATCAGCTGTGTCCAATCACAGCTAATCGCATGTAAATAAGGAAATGCCGGTTATCTGCATTTCTCTCCTCACGAGCTGTCACGCTGACAGCTCGTGAGGAGAGGAGAGCCGGTAATCGGCATTCCTCAGAGGGGACATGTACACTGATCATCAGGGCACTGATGAGCAGTGTGCCCTGATGATCAGTGTAGCCCCATCAGTGCCACCTGTCAGTGTCCGACAATGCCAGCTCTCAGTGCCCATCAATGCCACCTGTCAGTGCCCATCAGTGCCATATCAGTGCCACATATCAGTGTCTACCAGTGCACATCAATGCCACATATCAGTGCCCATCTGAGCTGCCAGTCAGTGCCAACTATCAGTGCCAGTCAGTGCCGCCTATCAATGCCAGTCAGTGCCACCTATCAGTGCCAGTCAGTACCGCCTATCAGTGCCACCTAATAGTGCCAGTCAGTGCCACCTAACAGTGCCGCCTATCAGTGCCATGTATGAGTGCCATATATGAGTGCTGCCTTTCAGTGCCCATCAGTGATGCCTGTCAATGCCCATCAGTGCCACCTACCAGTGCCTCCTCATCAGTGCCCATCAGTGCAGCCTATCAGTGCTCATCACTCATCACTGCAGCCTCATTAGCACACATCAGTGAAGGAGAAAAATCATTTATTTACAAAATTTTATAACAGAAACTAAGAAAAAACTTTTTTTTTTTTAAATTTCAGTTGTTTTTGTTTTTTTTAGCAAAAAATAAAAATCCCAGAGGTGATTAAATACTACCAAGAGAAAGCTCTATCTGTCTTAAAAAAATTATAAAAATTTCATATGGGTACAGTGTTGCATGACCGCGCAATTGTCATTCAAAATGTGAAACCTGAAAATTGGCCTGGGCAGGAAGGGAGTAAAAGTGCCTGGTAGGCAAGTGGTTAAACCTTGGTAAGCTACAATATATTCAATTGTATGTGGGGTTTAACCGCTACCAGTCCACCTTATAGCTGTAATATTGCTACAGGGCTGCAGGGTGCGCAAAATCACGTATATATACGTGATTTTGCATTTCCAGGTAAGGGGCGCGTGCCCTACGCACGCCGCTATTCGTGGCCTTGGCTGTCAATCACCGGGTCCTGGCTGGTGATTAGTTTGCCAACACCCGGTGATCGAGGAGCATTACCGACAGAGGGAGAGAACTGTAAGTAAACAATACAGTTATCTCCCCTGTCAGCTCCTGCACACTGCTATGCATGGCTTTGCATAGCAGAGCAGAGCCATGCCAAGCAGTGTGCTTACAGTGAAGCACACACACAGCACACTATGTAAAAGAGCACACAGTTAACCCTTTGATTGCCCTAAAGGTTAACCCATTTTTTAAAAATTTACATTTTTTTTTTTTTTAATTATCATAATTTCACCAGTCAGTGTCTCCCTGATCACCACCACACCAGTTATATGATGACGCTGTAGTGCACTGGTGACAGTATGTAAAAAAAAATGGTGAAAATTTTCTCTTTAATTTCTTCATTTTCCGGAAAATTATGACAAAAAAATTACAACTTCAAAAAACTTGCCATGCCTCTTATGAAATATGTCGGACTGTCTACTTTGCAAAAAGGGGTCATTTGGGAGATATCTTTACTGTTCTGACATTTTTGGACCTCAAGAAATTAGATTGGCTGTCAGTACTTCAGGATTGATCAATTTTCAGATATATCCCATAGTTTGTGAACTCTATAACTTTCCTACAGACTAAATAATAAATACTGATTTGGGTTATTTTCACCAAAGACATGTAGTGGAATACATCTTGGCCTAAATTTATGAAGAACAATTATGTATTTGCAAACTTTTATAACAGAAACAACGAAAACCGTGTTTTTTTTTTTTCAAAATTTTAGGTCTTTTTTTGTTAATTTAGCAAAAAATAAAAACCCCAGCGATAATTAAATACCACCAAAAGAAAGCTCTAGTAGTGTGAACAAAATGATAAAAATTTTGTTTTAGCACAGTGTTGTATGATTGCGCAATTGTCATTCAAAGTATAAGAGCACTGAAAATTGGCCTGGGCAGGAAGGGGGTAAAAGTGCCCTGTATGGAAGTGGTTTTTAAAGTAACATAGCGCTGTAATGCAAAATATGGCCTGGTCAGGAAGGGGGGTAAATCCTCAGGAGGACAAGTAGTTAATTGGGCTTTACCTTGGCAGGACCATTGAAAACAGGTGGAGTTCTAGGAAGTAATCATTTCAGGGTGAAGCAGCAGAGACTCCACATACTGTGCTAAGCTGAGACTGCAGTCAGCGGACTGTAAACCGTGCCCATATTTTGTACACAGTCTGTGTGAATTATTGTTTTTACCAAGCTTTACTTTATCCTATGCTGATAGAGAAAAAACAGCAGCCTTGCCATTTAAATAGGAAAATGATTGATAGTCAGGAATGTGCATGCAGTCTCCTATTTGCCTTTTAAATCATGCTATTCTAGCACAGTCTGGGTTTGTCTGCTTTTGTGTTTGCACTGTGGTTTATTGAAATGTCATACCTCCCTGGATCTAAAGGGTTTTAAGCTTCTGTTTATTCAGAGTGTACATAACACTGCGTTAGTGTGGGCACCTGACTTAGCAGTGCTAGACTATTCCAGCCCTGATAATTATCTGCCATCACCACAGGGATCAACTGCTCTGATTTCAGGGAGAAATAAAAGCCTGTCTGTGGCAAAGAGCTGGAAGACTGGTCTATTCCTGCGCACTAATTAACTAGGGATTTGGGAAAAACACTGGTACTGTTCCTGATTGTGGCTGACAGTCTAAAACTGGATTTAAATCATAATTAAATAGTCTAATGTATTAAAGTACTCTTCTAATTTGCCAGGAGTTAAAAAAAAAAAGTATGACCTGGAAATCTTGGAGTATTTCAGGTTATACAAACCCTGCCAGAAGTTTCAATTTTACCTACGGCTGACCTGAGCAATGCAAACAGCTGCTATTTGCCTTATATTTATATTTTATGGTACGTGTGATTTTCATTGTCACATACGTGTATGTTAATTGTAGACACTACCAGTCACCGTGAAATAGAAGTACAAAAACACACAAATGTCCAACTCTAGGTCCCCAAGAAAAATATTATTTTCAAAATGTCTCCATACACCCTGATGGTATCTTCTTTTAACCTTCCTAGCGGTAACCCTGAGTGTGGCTCGGGGTTAATTTTCGGTACCAAAAGCGGTAACCCCGAGCCACACTGGGAATTGCTCCATAGTGCTTCTTCTGCTTTCCCCTCGATCCCTACCTTGCCCTGCGATCCCACGATGTCCTCCTGCTGTGTCCTCCAGCCATGTCCTCCAGCCGATGTCCTCCCGCTGTGTCCTCTGGCCAATGCTGGCATCCGTCTTCCGGGTTCCATTTCCTGCGAGCATCGGTACGCACGGGGGGGGAAACCGGCGGGAAATTAAAAAAAAAGTAAAAATATGACATACACACAATACATTGTAATCTGTTAAAATTACATTACTGTATCAAACCATTTCACCTAAATGTTGTCCCTAGTGCTTTGTCCAGTGCCCTGCCTGCACTTTTACCGTTCTTTCTGCCTGGAAACTTGAGAACGTCCATGGAATCCAAAAAGTGTCCCTTTAGGTCAAAAGTGGTTTTAGACCAGCTAGAGAACAGTGATAGTGAATTAGAACCACTTGCAGAATTGAACAATAGTGATTTGTGGGTAAATTCATCATCAGACATTGACATTATTGAATTAAATGTATTATTATTATTATATTATTATTTTTTACAATTATTTATTATATTATATTTTATGATTTTGTTTGTTTGTCATACCCGGGATGTTTACTAGACTCTTGTCCTACATACACTGTGAATCGCTGATCACATAAGCAAGTTTCTATCTGCTCTGGGTAAGAGTAAGAATTACAGTCACTGGATGTGTATATGATCACTGGGGGAACTTGTTTTTGAACACTCTGATGTATACACACTACCAGTATTAGTTATAAGGATAATGCACTATGTATAGTTTATTTATTTTGAGGTACTAAGAGTGGAAGAGGACGCAGGGGTTTGAGGAACATTGAAAACTGGTGGAACATTAAGAACTGGTGGATTAAAAGAAGATACCATCAGGGTGTATGGAAACATTTTGAAAATTATGTTTTTCTTTGGGACCTAGGGTTGGACATTTGTGTGTCTACAATTAAGATCTGAAGCTTCTGGGGTGAAAGTAGTACTATAGCGGCCTGGGGTTATTTGTATCACTGGAATTTCACTTAAGGAAGGGATGGTTTTTGATACAGAACCTACGCGTATGTTCCTAGCCAGGCCTGGGAAGTTTTGCTTCATGAAAATAATTGTAAGATAAATCTAGCAATCATACAAGTTTCAAAGGTAATTCCTTTTTATGTGCAAATGATGGTCTCTGTGTGGGCGTGTCTTGTTGCTGCTGTTTTTTTAAATGTTTATAAACTATTAAAAATCATTGAAATACAAAGGTAATTCCATATATCACTATAGGGCTTGTTTACACCAGGTGCAGTCTACTGTGTTTTTAAAACTCAGGATGAAAGCATATGCAAGGAAAATTTCGATGTATTTCAAGGAGTCTAGTTTACAGACCCTTTTTAGAAAAGTGAGTTCTTCCAAGAATGGTGCCACTGACTAGGCAATATGAAGTTGCACACTACCCTGTACCACCCACAATGCAATGAAGCAATAAAGAGATACACCCTGATACAACTGATGAAAAACTTAGCTCACGAGAGATCAAAGGAAATGGTCTCATTACTTGGCAAAGCAGTCACCCTACCACACAGGTGTCAAACTGGCGGTCCTCCAGCTGTTGCCAAACTACTAAAGTCCCATGAGGCATTGCAAGATTGACAGTTACAAGCATGACTCCCAAAGGCTGAGGCATGATGGTACTTGTAGTTTCGCAACAGCTGGATCGCTGCAAGTTTGACACCCCTGTCCTACCCTGTCCTGTTATGTTTTGCCATACTCTTGGGGAGCCCACAGACCTATGAGCTACAGTGCCCACAGAAGAATTTGAATACACTCTGACTTCCTACATTTGGTAGTGGAAAGGACACCTGTCTGAAGTCCAACAGTTCGAACGGTTATAAATGGAGCATAGAGAGCTGGAAGCATCAAACTTTTAACCTGGGGCAGAATGCTAATTTATATATGTATATATTTTTATATATATTTTTTTTTGCGTTACTGAATTACTTGAGGGTTCTTTTTTAGTTGGTTTAATTGATTTTGTTTGAAGTCTCAGCACTGTTTTTTGTAATTTATATTTAATTTATTTATATTTTTTATTGTTTGATTTTTTATTTGCTATCACGCATCCAGCGCAAAAGTCTTTTGTTTTCAAAATATAGGCTGAATAAAATTCATTCAGTTCAGCAGGTACTTGACAT